TTTGCACTAAGTTAAGTCGGGCACCATTTGCAGTCATCAGCCGACATTTGAAGCAAAAAAATCAGGTAAAAAAAAAAAAAGCCGCGTCGCCGCACCACTTTTTGGGAAAGCTGCATACCAGAAACCGGAGACTTTTTTTTTTGGCCTAATGGTTCGGACCAAACCACTGCACCTTCAACAGAATCTTATGTTTTGCGTCGAGAAAAAAATGATACAGAAAAGGCATTTTTAAAGTTTTCTCACCATAAAATATAATATCAACTGAGCTGAAAGTTCGACAGGTTATTTGTTTCTTAACCTGATTCAGATTGATTGTATTGTTGTTTCTTGACTCGGCAAAATACATTTTTTTTTGGCAAATGGTGCCATATCCTTCAACGGCCTATCGGGCTACTTTTCTTAGGTTGTAACACCTGATTGTTTATATCTTTACGTTTTATTAAGTTAAATATAAAGAGAAAATGACGTCACAGAATTTGACCATGCAATCTACCAAAGGCTGAGCTGTAGGCTATAGCCTCTTGGTTCATTTTTTTTTTTAATTAATTGATCATCTTAGGATGATTAATTATTGTTCTTTATCACAGCATGGTAAACTTGTGGCTTCATACAATGATGCTGTAGTCATTTCGTCTACTGGAGTTTTTGACTAGGCTGTTCGGTCTGCAATCTAGCTGGACTTACGAGGAGAACAATCACTTATTTCACGAAGAGTATATAATGCTTGCGATGGCACAATCAAAACCATCAACAAAAATTGGAAATTGGTTATCTTTAAAGGTTCATGCAAAATAATTTGTTTAATGCGATCCTTGAAAATGGACCTTTGTGACGCAATAGCCTTATTTTCAATTATCTTTTTTTGGGGGGTCTTTTTCAAGGGTATTTTGGTGCCATTTTGGTTTTAAGGCTTATGCAAATTTACATATTCATGACCAAAACTGGGATGTCATTCCAGAAAGAAAGCTCAATGTTAATACAGTATCAAAAGTTGCAAGAATTTTGGATATTTTGCTGGAGTCGTAAATTTTCTTTTTCAGTAGTCAATGAGCAAACTTTTTTCATAAATGTTTTCAGTTAAGCTCATGTTTGGGTTCACAACTTGAACAGAAAACTCCTAAACTGAACAGTGCTTATCTGAAATGGTATCGCAGCAAAAGCGCCCTCAGTTGTCCAGAATAGCATGGATAATTGAAAACGTTTAAAGAAGTGCACTTTTCAATCAACTTAACCAAAATAGGGACATCAAATAGTTTTCATACATTTAAGAGGAGAAGAAAGTTACAGAAAATGTGTTCCTTAAAAACATCATCTCATGACCCCTTTAACTTGGAGTGGAGTGAAGAAAATCTACTGAAGAAATCCCATGCCTTCGATAGCTCAGGGATGAAGAAAAAGCACGAGCTTTCTAGATCCTTGCTGTTTGTATTCAGTGCAGTTCGTATGGATCAAATACTTTTGCCGTAAGGTACAAAGCTGTCATGTCCAATCTTGAATCTTAAATCTCGATGAACAGTATCACGCTGCATCTAGATTGGGAAACACAAATGGGGGATGTCTCGGCGGTTAGTTGATTTGGATGAAAGGTTATCTTTTAACCATCATTTCAGGAAATGCTGTCTGTCATCTTCAGCTTCGATTGATTTTTGTTTTATTCCAACAAAGGAAAGGAAACGCAACTCCGCCATATCCCGAGGGGAGTAACGCTCGCAAGGAATCGATTAAACGACACACCGAATATCAATCTACTTGTATCGGTATAAACGATGGATTTATATACCGCTTGAGGGCATCGACGCTTGGGAGTCGATTCTTCAAAACAAAACATATATCACTGCGCGAATGTGACCCATTGATGTACAACTACAAAGTTGCATTCAAGAAAAGTTGACACGTCGCGCGGGGTGCGCGGTGTCAGGTTCCGGGGGAGAGTTTGGCTGGAGGGGGATTCAACGCGCTGCGAACTCCATTCACCTCACGGCATGAGGCGGGAACCCGACCCGGGTCCTCAAAAAGAGGAAAATCTTGGCTTAGGCCGCCGCGCCCCCTTAGGCGCAGTGTGCGGGAAACCTCGCAAGAATGTAACGGATAAAGTTTGAGATTGAAAATGCACTGGATTTTTTTCTCGTTTAGCCGCAGGAATTGAAATGTTGGCAAACGGAAATATTGGTTGTTACACAGGACATGGACAATTGCTTTCCCTTTTGAAAGGAAAAGAAATTGTGATATTTTGCAGGAAACCAAACTTGGCATTTTTTCAGAGAGAAACCCGATGCGATTTTCAGTTTTATTTTAAATCCTCAGACATGAAAATAAAAAGTTAGCCTACATGAGCTTTCAAGATAGACAAAATATGAAAACTGCCATCAAAAGCTGTGTACACCAATAAACGAATTAAGGCGGGTAATAAAAACTATACACTGGCCATATTTCCTCTTCGAACATTTTGTGATTGTGTTCATCGCACATCATGTTAAGCCAGTTTTTAGCCCTCTTGTGGGCGGGGGACACATCGATATTAAATGCATAATTGAAGAAACAATTAAGCTTGCATGTATACATGTAGTTAGACGTGTAGTGAGACGTGTTCTTGTATTAGCGTTCCCGTCTGACTTCCTCATACAGGAAAAACGGGAAGAGATTAATTTGAAGCTAACTATTAAAAAAAAAATCACCTGTTTGACTTGGAAAATGGTCGGACAGGTGGAGCCACATTGGCGCAGCTGTACTCTTTCGATTTCCACCTGCTCCGGTTCGAATCTCACTACATGTATATTCCAAACTTATACATTGATTGATTGTGTTTGTACTTTTACTCTTGTTTTAATTAGTTCATCACAGATGCAGTGGGTTTTCCCTTCCTTTTGGAGGTTTCGTCCCACCTCTATAAACAAAATTTCCCAAACATTTGAAGAAACATTGATTCCATTACTGGGTACGAATTTCGAGAAACCTAAATGTGCAAAGTTTTGTTCCAGCCGGGATAGCCTACATATTCTGGCACACGGGCGTCTTTTTAATGCATTTTGTTTAGAATTTGTCGCATTTTGTTTATTCATCTCATTGGTTTATGTGTCAATTTCTTTACCACTGACACGTTCGACAGACTAGATCTATCATTAGGGTGAGTGGTGGGGTTGGGTGGGGGTGTAAGCCTCCACTGGTTGTAGACTAGCAAGGCATGAGCAAGGTAACTATAGATTCTCGGCACGTATATTCCCACTGCTGCCCCCGGTTTGTCCGATACAGCTGCAAGATTTCAGCGGCCGGTGTTGAAATCAGAGGCCGTGTATTACAAGCCGACGCCTGATTAAACTCCGCGGTGCACCAACCTCGACAGCCCCGGAGCTAGAGATAGAATGACGAGCCGTGATCGTATGTTCTGTCACCGCTCGTGGTATAAAAAATAATAGATTCACTTGTAACAACTCCTCCTTTTACAAACCTTTATTTGCGCTGGTCTTAAATAATTGTATCTAGTGTATTTTTGGGGGGCCGATTGTTCTTCAGGAAACTAGACAATGATATGTATTGAATCCTACAGCCACCAATAACAATTTACGAAATACAATAATTATTTATTACATGTTTATGCGAGTGTACTCCAGAGGAGGTTTCTGCACAGTATAAGATGAGATGATGGATATTCTCGGTTGTCAACAATCTTGATTTTAATTTTCTGAAACATTTTCCTGGTTTACTAAAGAAAATAATATGTCTTCTTTTGTGGGGGGGGGGGGGGGGTTAGAATTTTTACAAAACTCTACATAAACGTGCCATCAGGTGATTTTCATTTAAAACAGATATTGTAAAGATCGCGGAAATTCCAACCGTCTTCTATAATATAGAAATTAACCCCCAAAATTATTAAATAATACGGCTTTCTTCGTTTTCTTATTTTCTTTTCACGTGGATTGTTAGAAAACCCTTATAGATGAGCATTTCGCATTTTACACAGATTTGCATTAATATTTTGCGATATACATGTAATTAATGCTGTTCACCAATGCGTGTTGTCGACATCGTAAACACTGTCAGTTGTTTATAGAGCATATGGATAGATGTCCTAGCTGAAAGATTAGAGAATGAGATGTAATACTTTTGTGCATGTCAGCGCCGTCAGGTGTGTTGTTTCACGGCAAGATCTGAGACAGTGTAGTTTAGTGTGCCGGCGGCAGAACGAGTTTTTTGTGTGTGTTGGGGTGGGGGGGGGGGTGAACGGGGTCGGGGTGGGGGGGGGGGGGGGGGTAGCGAGGGTTGTTTGAGTTTAGGGGGGAGAGTGGGGGCGGGGCTATCGGCGACAAAAATGTTTTCGATGTCTGATTTGAGAGCAGTGATACAAGAGTGTGATACGCTGTGGACACACTATAAAGACTTTAAACATTTTCTTGTTCCCACTTTTTACGCAAGATTAGTCTAAGACGTTTGGATTGTTTGCGCAGCATGAAAGCATGTACGTTAGTAGTACCATCAATAATAACTTTAAAAAAAAAGGCACATTTATATTAAACAGGTGATAAAAAGAGTGATAAAAGTGTGTATTTAAGTCATTCGACTTCAACCTGATAAGTCATTTTTATTTACTATTACAATTGTATACTTGATGGTACTTAACTACTAACAGGCTTTCGTCATGTACCGTTTTCCATGAAATTGGGCCCAGAGTCTGCAATCAGTTGGCACAATAAGCCCAACGCTGAACTATATCAATCAGTGGCTTAGCTTGGGTCCAACTTACATGGGCACTTAGAGGGTCTCATTTTCTGAAGTGTGGGGCACTCAAACTGTTTTAGCATAAAACAAACTTCACATTTGCCTTCCTCAAATTCTGAGCGGGGGAGGCACAAATGGAGGGGCACAGGCCTCGAGATGAAGGGGGGGGGGGGGGGACGTGTCCCTATGCCCCTCTTAGTTACGCCACTGAGTATACCAAAGCATTTACAACACTAAAAAGAATACAAAACATAACCAAGTAATGTGTTCGGTCTCAAAGCCAGCCATGGATTATAAACACAGAATTCTTTATTAAAACTCAGATGTCGCCACCAGATTGAAGAGAGTATTACTACAGATACTACAAACAATGAGAAATTTCGAATTTGAATGTTAACGTGTTTGCAAATAAATATGCAAAAAAAAAGTAAAAATGAATACAAAAGTATTTTGTTAAATGATATTGCATAAAATAATTACGAATATATATCATAAAATTGTGAAGACTAAACTAAGACAAAAAAAAAAACCAGTGTCCCTTTGCCAGTCCGACATGGCGAACGTGGGGCGCCCTCTATTGTTTGACAATCATTATTATCACACCAGGAGTTCCCCCGTTAGTTGTCTTGATTTTGTTTTCCATTTTGATTTGAAAGTAACTTTAGGCCTTTTTTCTTCGAATACATCATGCCAGACCGCTTTCAACTGCTAAACTTACACGGGAAAGAAGCAATTTCATCCACAGTATGCGTGTTTATGCAGTAAGAAAGAAAAAAAAAGATATGTAAGAAGAGGGCGCTATTTCAAGCTTACGGTAAGTGCATGCAGCTTTGAATGATTCGCATTTCACAAGGCACAGGGAGTAAAGAAAACGATGGCAGGCATTGGCAATGGTTTTCACCGAGTTAAACGTCATGCTCGGCTTTCAATATTTAATGTAATTGATATTTTGCATAATCACAATACACCCTGAGTTTCAACCATGATTTCTGCTTCAGTCCATCTGTACATGTACGGCCACCTTACAAACGAACAATGGCCACAAACAGCGATTTCTCGGTTCTAACAGTCAATCAAATCAGACATTCTTGGGATCCAATCACGTCACTCTTTGTCTACGATTCTGCGACCTGGTGTTGCGAGCGTATAGGGCGGTGGACTAGACGCTTACGCAGGCAGTGGCATAAACTCATAATAATTATTACCAATTCTTGGAAGCCATCTTCTAATCACTTTGGGTGAGCACAGCGACATTACATCTTACCGAAGCCAGTGTTTCACTTAGATATCCAATTTTTCGTCTAGGAACCACAATTTATTAAAACAACTTAATGTTTTTCCCGATGGCGCACATTAAAACTGTGTGGATGCTTTCACACAAATGGTTCAAAACTTGTGCTTGGCATGTGTTGTCCCGACGAAGGTATTGTACATGATGCAGCAACATCGCATAGTTATCACTGACGTACACTCCAAAATCTTCGTTAAGAGTGGGCTTACTTTCGGCCAAAGCCACTGTTTGCTTCACTACAATCAGTATACGGTGAGCCACTGATGGGCCGAAGCCCGTCGATGATTCAGGGTAGACGAGTTATTTGTCTAGGAGTAAGCACCAACCATAGACATGGCCACACTGTGTTCCTTGGCTTTCAACCTCAATGCCGCGATACTGCTGCTTCTCCGCTCCGTCTCAACCTCGCCCAGGCCCTGGGGCAGAGGTGCCACGCCCGTGGCCATCAGAGCGGCGCCGGCAGAGGGCGCTATCATGCCGTTCCCCGAAGACGTGGTGCTGGCAGGCGAGTGTTGCACGGGCGCTGAGGGCGGCATCTGCCCGTACTGGGGCAAGCTGGAGTTGGACATGCCCATGTAGCTGGGCAGCATGCCCTGCGGCGCCATACAGGAGGTCAGTCCGTTCATGAGCTGGTGGCCGCCGGAGGGCATCTGGTGCGCGTGCGGGGAGTAGCCGCCGCCATTTTGTAATGGCGCCGCCATCGTCGGGGGCGAGTGCTCGCTCGGAGTGAGCGAGGAGCCCAGATGATTGGGTGACCATGAGGACGAATTTGCAACCTTCAGACAAAGCACAAGCACAACTTCATTCTCTAATCCTTTACACAATGTAAATAACTGCACACAGAGTGAAAAGCAGTGTTTATAATTATATTCCTGGTTTTCCAGGAGAAATGTAATCCATTTGAATGACTCCTACATGCTTGATCATAATATCATGACCTCGCAATTTGCAATTAATGTTTCACTCAAATGTGCGGATCTATTTGGTATCGGTCATTAGTTTTACTTTCCCAGCCGAGAACCAGTCGAGATAAATCACTTCACGTGTCTATTTGGTTGGTAACCAAGCTGTTCCTTGAGATTCGCAGCCAATCATATACTCCACACAATCAGGTAAACTGGTAGACTACAGTGTTCCTTAGTGAAACAAATCCTCCTCTAAAGAGACTCATGCTGCATTGAATGGAACAAGTTCTTAATAATAGGCCTACCTGTTGCGAGTAGCTATCGTTCCGCGGCGCCATGGGCATTTCGTAGTTGGTCCCGGCAGCCATCGCCCGCATGTTGGTGAACTGACCGAACCGTTCCCGCTTCCGCCACTTGGCACGTCTGTTCTGGAACCAGACCTGAGAGATGGGAGACACAGTCTATATTATATTAAGAATATTCTGAATTTTCTGATGTTTAAAAAAATGAGTAAAATAAACAGTATTTTGGGGCACTTTCTCATGAGGGCGCCCTTAATATTACCGTACCATCCGAACCAGTTTCCTATAAAGCAGCGCCCAAGGAGAGCTAATCCCAGGTAGCGCATTGTGATGATTACTTTCTGTTGCTGTGTCCGAATCGGGTATTAGTGGCTGCGGCTTTGGTTATTTCATTCACACACCACGGACAAGAAAGTCGTAGCCGAATATAACAGTCGTTTCGGACACTGCTTTTTTTCGAAGCACGGGGAATTTAGCAAAGATCCCAAGGACAATCTACCAGTTGCTATAACGTAGGGATGGGTGATTTTTTTGTGACCGATGAGCACTTCACAATACAGAAAAGGCATTTGGATGCACAAATCCTGCTTTTTACACACCGTGCATCATATAAACAAAAAATAATGTGACATCCGTTTGCTGACATTTCCAAGCGGTGTTTAAATGTTTTGCATGAGGCGAACAAGGATTCAACAGTTGTCACTAAATATTGACTCGCTCGCTTGAAGTCGGATTTGTTTTAATAACATTGGTTGCAGTTTGCTTCCCCTGTGGATTTATTTAATGTATTCAGAGCCATCATCTTGTAAATGATTTTATGGTACATAAGTCTTACATTTACATTTTGACATACGCAAACATTTTGTCATCAAACCGCCGATGGCCAATAGGATATCGTGACGATATCCATTTTCAAAAGAGATGACATAGGGTCAAATGCCTGGTATCCTGTTGAGGCTGCACAGGAAGTATATAAAGAAATATCGTGAAACCAGCCATAGGCCTATAGGTAAGACCCCGATAATCGAACAATGAAATCCGTCGGGTGGTGGATTAAGAGAATAGAGGGCGCACTTCATTAGTAAAACAACAAAACACTGCTGGTGACCGTGACCTAGACGGGGTCATTGACCTGACGGTCGTTCATGATTTATGCCGACACCGCATCTGTGCAGTTGTTGCCAAATCCAAAAGCGGCAATGGAAATATTCCCATCCAGTCTTGGATTTGTTCCTTCCGAAAGAATAATAAAAGAGAGACAAACAAAGTGTCTAAACGAGTTTCCCTATTAATGTGCGGCCCGTGGAGAGTGATTTGTTTAAGTTCGCCCTTGGGAATCTTAACGGCTAATAACTGCTCCGCCCTTGGGAATTTCAAGAGCAAATAAGAAATTGTTATTGTGATACGAAAACACGATGCGTATTGCCTTCGGTCTTTTTCAACTTGCATACTTCTTAATAACGAAACAAGTAGCGAGTGTAGATGGCATTTGCAGATCCATTTTTTAATAAGTTCTCTTGACCAATACATTATTAAAGGCACATTACGGCCTGGAATGCACCCAATTGGGCTACATTTTAAACGAAATTATGTTAATAACAAATAAATTAATATAACTATCAATAATACATTATATAGTTATATTATAAGTAGAATATAAACGTCCACACAACCATCCTTTAAAAACTGCGTTTTTGTATTATTCTTGCGAGAACCATGCAAGAACGAATTTCGGGGGGTCACAATTTTGTCCCCGAAAAATCGAGATGTTCAGTGCTAGTTGTGAATCCAGCCTCACAGTGATTCGCACTCTGCGGACATGTAAGTAACAACATGTTGCATATTCTGTTATGCGTGTATTATGTACCACATGCACACACACAACTTGTGCGCTGCATTGAATAGACGCGACTTGAACTACGTATGGGTATGCCACAAAATGTCCGTCGCGTCCGATGTAAACAACCAGGTTTTTTCGTCTTTTCTCGGGAACGGTAAGACATAAGGTTTGCTTCCTTTCAACCAGACCTCTGAAAGAGTATAAGTAAACAATCCAAAACATGACATTTTCGGGAATTTCTGGCCGAAATGCCCCTTTAAGATTAGCCCGTGTTTTGATATTGATGACTTATCAAAGCTGTTTTGCAGTGTCGAATTGTCGAGACCACGACAAGTTCATCATAACTCTGGTCACGAGTAAATCACAAGTCCAGTCACAAATAGCAGGGGACAAACAGCAACAAAGGAATGCTTATATCGGGTAGCTTGTGACTTCATTTTATGACTTGTGGTGGACTTGTGATGGACTTGTGATGGACTTGTGACTCGACTACTACGCTTCTGTTGTACCACTTTTGGCTGGGTATGTACACAATTGACGTCATTCCCAACTTCCCAATCACAGTGCTGGAATCCTAAAAACCTCACCACGATTGGTCAGTGCAGTAGCTGCTGGCAGTTTAAAAAAAAAACAATTCTCCGTTCATGCTGGCGTTATTAGCATACCGAATTTAATGACGGCCTTGTAAACCACCGTTGCCCGAGGCTGACCCCAAGCTTCCCCCAAGTTTCGCCCGGGCTTCAGGACTCATTTCCAGGGCAGCAAATCAACGGGCACCCGCCAATAATTGCAACAGGCTCGGGATACAAGAGGGAAAAAAAGTCACAAAACCCAAAAGTCCCATTAGTAACTTGTCACTTGCAATCATGATCAACAACCTTCAGACGAAGTTGGGGGGTTACGGTCAGAGAGTCGGCGCGAGGAAGGAACTGCGGCTCTGGGAAAATTACAAATATGAGGTCAAAAATTAATTGAAAAATGGGCCAAAACCGGGGAGGGGTGATCTAGCCGCGGAAGGGATCTGGGAAGTTTGCGCCATGTAGAAGGAAATAATATGGGCGGTTGCTTGTTTTTTTGGTACAACTTGAACTTGTCAACCGTGTTCTGGGAGCTTACTTTCTCATCCACTTACTGAATCTTAAGAGGGTGAGACGGAAATTTGGAGATGAGTTCCAACATGGTTGAATAGTTAGTTTGTACGGCATGAGATAGATTGCGTGGTTGAGAAGAAAATATGTATTTATGCACTCTGGGCATTTGTTCATTTTGAAAGGTACATATAATTTGTTTGGGGAGATTTCTATCGTTTGAAGTAACACAATTGCAAAATAATTGTTCAGAAGGGTACAAGTACAGCAGTTCAAAACAACTATCGTGTTGAAGTTTCAGCTCAGTTGATACTAATATATTAGCAAACACTTTGAGAAAACAGAGAAAACGCACGCAGAATTGTTTGGGTCTCGTCAATGAATCCCGTTGCTAAATCACTTTCCATTTGTGTTTTCTTCGGAACTATACAATCTCAGGCGGATTCGTTTCACAGGGTATTTGGTACCAGTCCTATCTTCACTTTTACTTAAGCAAGGATTGTTTCGTTAAATCGGTAGTTTCGTTCACAGGTAATTTTAGTGTTCCTGTGTGCCTTTAACGTGTATTTTATTCTATATAATCCGATATTTAGCTCTTTCTTTGTCGTTTCCAATCGTACAAAGGGGAGCATTGAAGAACTCGGTTTTCTTGCTCAGCATAAACGTTTAGTTAAACGCATTAAAGGAATGCAATATTTGCGATCCTTGCGAAAAAGATATTACAGTGTAGTTACGATCTATCACTGAAAAATGCCTATCACTGAAAAATGCCAAAAAGCCCAGTTAAAACTAAAACATTTTTTTGTTATAATTTAAAGATATCAATTTTTTGGCTTGAACTTCAAGGAGAAGTAGGTCAAATTTGAAAGAGGAAAAAAACAAAAGGCCAGGGAAGATTTAAGGCACTTCAAAAGAGACAAGCGAGGAAAGGGGCGTGGCACTGTATCCCCTCTCCCTTCTGGAAACCCGTCAGGCTTCAGTTTTTCTATCAGAAACGCGATAATTTATTTCAAACAACAAGAGATGGATTTCTGGTTTCGGTCATTGCGAGAGACCGTTGCTGTGTTTTGTCATTTCCCCTCACCTTGGCTGGAGCCGAGTCGTAAATCTCCCATCCTGGCCTGTATCCGCGTTTACGAGCGATCATAAAAACCAGTTGGCGCCCATAAATTCGAATGGGAAAGTGTCCCATTGGGCTCCTAATGCGACAAGAGACTCGAAGAGCAGAGCGCGCAGGCATTGTGTGTTTTTACGGCTAAAAAGATGCATTGAAAATGAGCTAATCTTTTCGTTATTAGTGAAAACAGCGATTGCCAAGCCCATACGGAACGGGGGCATTATCACAGTTTTGGAAATGATTGACATAGCATTGGGATCAAAATGGCGAAACACTGTAGCGCCCTCTCGCGACATTGGTAGTTGTTGATCAAGCTACATGTATTATTTTGACTGGGATAGTTCTTTGTCTCTTTTATGAAATACGGAAGTTGTTGTTTGTTTTCAATCTCTCTGTTTCCCTGTTCCATCAAACCTTTAGTAAATGTGTAAAAAAAAAAACCATTAGAGGGGGTCGTGCATATTTATGAACTCATCTGATAAGAATTTAAACGTTTTGTTTCCGTTAATGGTCACCAGTTAAGTCATAGTTTGCTTACTAATCTAACTTACTGGTTGAATTTGGTAAAATAAATCCATAAGTGAAGTGATTCCATGGAAAACGAAGTCAAGTCATTTCTCCTCTAGTGTCAGTTATCAAACAAATTGACTGCAGCAAACATTCATCTTAAAAATACGTGTAATTTGCTCAAGAACTAGGCTACATAATTCTTTTTGTCGTGTCGTGGAAGCTATACAATCAACGTCTTATTCAAAACCTTGCTCCAAGTGACATCCAGTAGCCCTGATTCACGAGGAAGCCATTTTCGATCGTGTTCCCTGAATCTATTTTATAAACTGTAAACTGTTGAATGGGATGGTGCCAGACTATTTTATGATTGGAGGCCGTTCCAAGCCTCACTTTAAATTGTTCTGCTTTAAATGTGGCTTAATAAATTAGGGTTTAATTAATTCATAAGATGAATTTTGGGTCGGGGTGATGTAAATCAATATTAGGTTTTGCCCTTCACCGACGTGTAAACACTGTGAACATTGAACTTTTATTGCATTGCTTTCGTTTCTACTCGCAAGTTCCTAAACTGAAGAGTCTACCT